CTTCACAAAGGATTATGACTTTTCTCTGCAAAACAAGAGTGTTTTGTTTTAGCAAATTTTACATGATTTATCTGATTATATACCTGAGCTCTCCAACCCTTACTCACTGTTTTATTGAAAAGTAATTTCAATTAAAATTAAATTGGTTATGCCAAAGGAGCAGTTACTGAAGTTACTTCTTATACTGGCAGTTGTATGTTAACTTCTGGAATCTATCTAACCCAAGAACTCTTGAAATGCTCTCCTATTGTTATTGACTTCTTTGTTGCAGTACTCTTACCCCTGGATATTTTGATGCCTTTGTCTGTCAGCTTATGGTAGGGTGCAATTCTGAATACCTCTCTGTCTCCATCGTTTTCAGATCCTAAGTTTGCCCATCTGTTATCTGAGATTGCTACAAAACCAGTTTGGGGGGAAGAATAAAATAAATGAATCTCTAGAACCAGGAGTTTTTTGTTTGTTTGTTTTGTTTTGCTTTGTTTTTGTAAAAAGTATAGGCTAGAGGTAGTATAATCCTCAGTGCTATGTTAAGTTTTGTGGAAAATTGAAAATTGAAAAGGAATTTTAAAATATTTTTCTTTAGAACATATTCATCATGAGTAGGATCAAAGTAAAAATAAGAAATACGCTTTTCAACTTGTTTTACAAGCCTTTGATTCTCACACAGTCCAATTTAATCAAGTTGGCTAAGGGAAAAACTGGGAAATAGATAAAGGTAATAAATGTGTTTTTCCTGTGGTTGCACTGGCAAGATGGTTATAATACAAGTCATCTAACTCCCAGTACAGGACTCTCTCCTTTAGAACATGCTGTTAGTCCCTCTATTTTCAGGAACGCCCTCTGACTAAACAACAGCATGTCCTCCCATCAACACAATGTTCACATTCTGTGTGGAGCTATGACTGTTAGAGAAAACATGTGCCTGCACAGTTCATGCTGTATTGCAATATTGTGTAAATTATTTATTTTATAAAGCTGGTACAATATATGCAGTAAATTTGAACATTAGTGCTTTTCCATGCATGCCATTTTAAATCACATTAGTTTGATTTGAAAGATGTGAGATAGACTTAGCACAGCCAGAAAAAGAATGAAGGAAAATGACCTAACTTCTTAAGGATTATTGTCAGACAACTTGAGATGCTGTTCATAGGTAGCATTCATTTGGGGTATATATTTTTAAATATATAAAAAGAAAAGTTTCTGTAAAAATGTTTTGTTTAATCCAGCAGTATACCATGTAAGCTTACACTGTCTAAGCTTATACATTCTCCCCCATGTACCAACCTTAGATGTGCTTACATGTAGTAAGACTATATATTTTTTTAAATACTGATTTTATTTTTATAACTTTTTATCAAAGTATAATATATGGAGAGAAAATTCACAAATAAATATGCATAAAATTAAATTAAATTTCATAATGTGACTCTGCACCCAGACCATGAAATGAAACATTCATATCCCCCCTTAGAAGTTCTTTTGTACCTCACTGTCAGTCACCTGAAAGGAACCTACTGTCTCGATTTCTAAATTCATTGTAGATTAAATGAATTATAGTAAGTTAATAATATGTTGACTAATAAGTGAAATCATATGGTATTTATCTTTTCATCTGGTTCCCTTCACTCAACACTATGCTTAGGAGGTGTGTTCATGCTGTGGGCAGCGACTGTTCACTCATCCACATTGCTGTTCAGTGTCCCAAGGCATCAATATATCACAAAGGGTTTACGTGTTCTGCTGTGGGTGGGCATCTGGGCTGTTTCCACTGGGGCTGCTCTAGAATACCAGCGCAGTCATGAACATTCTTGTGCCTGCCTTTTCGTGAACATATGATCACACTTCTGTTATATTCCAGGTGTAGAAATTTTGGGTCATGGTGTTATTCACCTTAGTAGTTTTAGTAAAATTTTACTGTTTACTCAAAGTAGTTATGTTAATTTACATTCCGGTTAGGAATGTTTGGAATTTCTTATTAATCTGTTAATTACAGCTTTTAATTTTTTTTCTTGTGCATAATAAGTCTTAGTGTTCTTTCCAAGCCAGGACCTAGGGATCTACTTTATTCCTTTTACATTTTTTTATATAGTGTTCCATAGGGCCATAGATTGTTTATTCCTCTAATATTAATTATGCAGGTTGTTTTCTTTTTCCTATTAAAAATACTTTGTAACTTCCAAATTTTAAAATATACCTACCATTTTATAATACCATTTATACTGCAAATGCATTTGACATGTATAAATTATTCAGTGTATAAGTGATTCTTTTCTTAACTTTTTATTTTGACATAATTTTAATCTTATAGAAAGTTAGAAAAATATTGTATATTTAGCATCCATCTCTTAATGTTAACTTCTTATACAACCCCATCATACAAATATAAAATGTTAATCACATGGCTAAGGTGTGTTGGTGAGTTATCTCCACTTTAAAGCTGTTCTTTTCCCCTCTGCAATTAGTAAGTATATTAATTACTTAACTCATTAAATAATTCTTTGTGAATATTCCAATAATTTGTTTCTCCTCAAACTTCCACCCTCTTTTAAGCAACCATCTGTAGACCTAGTCTGCAGTAGTTACCCTATGCTCTTCTACTGTTCTTTCCTTCATATTAATTAGAACCTCTTTGGGAGAAAACACTATCTCTTCTCACCCATTTATTTATCTGTTCAGTTATTGACTTATATCAGTATTAATATCACTTTTGTTTTGTGGGTTATAACCTAATACTATAGCTAGTATTGTTGCTCAACTGGTCCCATTTGGGCCATTGGGAGTTCTCCCTGCTTCTACCCTTTTAATGCCCCTGTGTTTCTTTGAGTGCTACTTTAATTTATGGCAACATAGAATGTTCTAGGCTCCTATGAAAATTGCCTTGCCCCAACCAGTCTTCCAATATGTCTTAGTGTATTGCTGAATGATATTGAGGAAAAAAAGAGCTGGGCATTGGAAATACTCACCACACTGGAATAGTGTTGTTTCTGAGCATTCATTATTTTTGTCATTTTTATTTCTCTAGGATCCAGACAACTGATTCATTGTTTTGTTAAATAAATGCATATAAAGCTATAATTTTTCCTCTGAATACTTTGACTTTATAGTGTTTCTATTATCCCTTCTATCTAAGTAGTTGATAATTTCCATTTTTATTTTCTCTTTGGTCCAAGGTTTATTAGGTGTATGCTTATATTTTCATGTCTGTAATTTTTTGACTACCTTTTTTTGGTTACTTTTTCATGAAATTTTATAGTGGGCAGTGAATGTGGATATATTATTTTTCCTCTTTTTAAGATTATATTAAAATTTCAATTGTGATGGATTATCTGGTTGACTTTTGTGACTATACTATGTTTTTGTGGAAAAAAAATTATTAGATATGATTCAAGTTAGACCACAATTAAGCTAATAATATTATTAAAATCAATATTTTTATTTGTTTATGTGTCATTGTGACCTTTACATTTCTGTGAGAAATATCTTACTACCTCCCATTCTGATTATTAATTTGTTCTCAGTGGATTTTAATAATCAAAACAATATCTTGAGGCTATGTTTTAACTGAACTCTGTGTGTATGTATCTGTTTGCGTGTATGAGAGAGAGAGATATGAAAACAGGGAGATTATATGAAAGTTGACTTATGGAATAATAATATTTATGTGCCATGACCCAAGTACTTCCCTTGCTTATTTCTGAAAACTTTGGAAAAGAAGCTTACTAAATAGGTAGGAGATTGAGGAAGTCTCCTCTGGAAGAATAAGCAGATAAAAAAGAATGATCTCTGGGTACTATCAAAATTGCTGATTCCCCATTTGACCTCATAGTGAAACCCATTTAATATTTCATACATATGTATAAGAATAAGCTTATAGACAGCAACTCGGTGTTCCATTCATTCGTGTTTCAAGGGGGGAGTAGAATAATTAATAGCATAATTAACACAGATTGAAAAATTACAAAGATTTTATCATATGTGTTTCATTTGTCTTTTGTTTGTTTGCTAAAGCTACAGGTTGAAAATCCTACATTGCACACGGTTTTCAGTTTAGTTCAGTGTGATGTGCCATTTTCTTATATAACAATAATATTCTTCATATTAACAACAGCAGTGAAGTATAATGTAAATATTGGATAAAGAGGTTGAATTATAGCAGGACCACTAGTTGTAAGTAGCAGAACTAGATTTAATTGACTTGTAATTGAAATGATAATATCTAAATATTAAAATAAGAAACAATAGTATATAAATTTTACTTAGCAATACAGAGGTAAATGATGAAAGAAACAGGAAAAATATGAAAATAGTTCTTTTTAGGAGTGAAAATTAGAGTAAAAGCAAATAATTACTATTTGTTCTTAGAACTTATAGTAATATTTGGGGCTTGTCTGGTGGCACAGGGTTAAGTCTCAGCACTTTCAAGCTATCCCCAGCCAAGGAGCTGACCCACATGGCACAGCAGACCTTTCCAGTCTCGCCTGCTGTTCCCTTCAGCAGTATATTTTGATAGATCCTCCTATTCTGCTCCCTACCCTGCCTCTGGTGAATCCTTTCACTTCCTGCATCTCTGGCCTACACCTGAGCTCTTGTTGGCATCAACAAATAAAATCAATCTTTTAAATAAAGCACTTTTAGTAATATTTCACATTTTAGATTATGGGCATGTATTACTTTAGTAAAAATTATATTGACAGTTGTTTATTTCCATTTATATTAGTTTTTCAAACAATAATATATGTTCATTTTATAAATTCAAACTGTATACAAGATATAGAGTATAAGTGATGCCTCCTTTCATCACTGTTTGCATTTCCTCTACCTATCAGTTCCACACTCTTGCACAGAGATAATGGCAGCTTGATGTCTGTCTCACTATACTTTTCCTAAACATGCATTTAGCATACATAAAGGTACATAATTTTATTTTTTAAGTATATTTAAATTTTATTTTATGAGGGAACATTTAAACTTGTAATGTTTTTTGTTTATATTTTTAGAATTCAAGATACAAACATGCAGTTAAAAAGTCAACAAAATGAATTTCAGAGAGTTCAGAAAGAATTGACTCATCTGCAACACGAGTTAAAAATTCAACATAGGCAATCACAAGTCTTCAGGTAAAGTTATATTTGAGGAATTAATAATTATAAACATTGAAAAGTACATATAATACTATATAAACATGAAACATGTTTTAGTTTCTACATTTTGTGGAGTCGAAAAAGTGAAAAGAAATGCACTTTTTCCCCCAGACTGTCAAAACATAACAAAAATAATTTTTAGACTATGAACAATATACTGGTTATGGGTTGGGGGATGGGGAAGAAGAAGGAACTAGGGGAAGAAAGGTGACAGGGTGTTGGCTCCGGAGCTGTGGTGACAAGTGAGTGAACTGTGTGTATACGGAGGTGTGAAGTTGTACTCCCAGCATTATATGGTCATGTAAATGATTGGCAAATGAATTCAACTTGAGAGAAAGAATTCACTTCAATTACTATCTCAATATTTTACAAATAAAATTTAAAATGTCAAACATTGCTTCCTTATTTTACATTGACATTTTGAATGAGTGCATAGTAAATTACTCATTTCCCTCTTACCCAGTTTTCCATGGTGTAGGTGAAACTCTGATACATGGAGTGACATGAGAAGTAGTAGGCTAGTATCGAGAATAGCTTGTTATAGATAAATAGAAATTTGCATATAAGCTCTACCCAGATCTCTTATTCCTGAAATACGTGTGCACATGGAAGACACTAAGCAGCCCATCTATGGCTAAAGGAAAAGATATTTTAATTGTTATCTACCTCAGAGATGATAAATCTTACAGTTTGGCTTCAACAAAGTTAACTGCTTATTAAAGCCAAACAATACCAAAAATACCAATACTCTTTAGAGAAATACTTAACGCCTCAGAATCATTAAGAATTTCATCATTTTTTTTCTGATTTTTTTCAATTATTTCCTGGCTTTCCTTTGTTTCCTAGGCTTGACCACATAGTTCTTTTTACCTTATAACTTTTTAAAAAGAATCTTATTTAGATATAATTATACATTATAAAATACACTTACTTGATGTGGACAATAATTTTTATTAAACTTACTGAGTTGTGCAACTATTTTTTGTGTCTAGAAGAACTGGGGTATAGGCCAGAGGTGTGTTGGGTTGGGGGATGGATTCACCAGAGATAAAGTGGGGAGCAGAACAAGCAGATTTATTGAAATATGCTGCTAAGGGGAGCAGCAGGTGAGACAGCTGTGCCATGTGGGTCAATTCCCTGCCTGGGGATAGAAAGCAGGGGGTAGTGGTGTTAGTGCTGATTCTTACCTCCTAGGCCGCCAGGGAGATCCTGCTTTTTAAAATCACATCACATATGAGAACACTTGAGACATCCCCAAAAGATTCTTATGTCATCAATCTCAATTCTCACCACTAGATTTTCATTCTGGAGACTTCAGAGTCATATAACATGTGGTCTTTTACATTTAGCTTTCACTTATATGTTTGAAGTTTATCCATTTGGAATAGCAGGTACTTTGTTGCTTGTATTGCTGAATAATATTCCATTGTATAGAGGCACTACATTTTACTTATCCATTAATCAGTTAATAGTCAGTTTCCACTTATTGATGCTTGATAACACACTGCTATAATCATTCATATATGAGTCCTTCTTAGGTTTCATTTCGTTTTTTGAACAGCGGCCTAAGGATTTTAGCCTCTGTGTGAATGTTAGCATACTGTGCTCATCTGTGTACATGCTCTGTTGTCACCACCCAAACAAACCCTACCACTTTACATTTCCCTTTCTTTCCTGCCAACACATTGAGTGTTCTTGAAAACTGACACCAGCACCAACATTTTTTTCAATTCTGAAAGATCCTTTGCTACCAAATGTCTCCCCTGAGATAACCAGAGGCCTCCTTAACATGAAATACAGTGGACTCTGTTCAGCCTCTAGCTGAGTATTTAACAATAGACACCCTTACTTTTCTCTTTAATTCCTCTTATTTTGGGTTTTCTGATACTATCCTTTTGTATTTTCTTCTAAATACATGATTACTGTTCCCTCATCTCCTTTGAGGGTATTATTTTCCATTTCAGCCCCTGAAAAGCTAGTGTTTTATCCTAATTCTCACTTCTTCCTTCCTCCTACTGAGTGATCTGTTTCATTACTCACACCCTCAGTCAGCAGTGTCTGTTGAGCTCGTACTGTGTGATAGGCACTGTGCTAGGTGCTAGTGAGGGTGTGATGAAGGAGATACAGACCATCTCTATAGAGCTTAGTCTGCGTAGAGGGATAAACACTAACCAGGAAGTTATTCTCCTGACTTCAGTTATCATCTTCTTGTTGATGACATTCACCATATGTCTTCATCTTGCCTGATGATTAGGTAAATTTTAGCCAGAACTTTTGATGTAATAACAGATGAGATTAAAAAAAAAAAGGTGATTACTTTGAGCTGTGCATGTGATAAAGGAGAAGCATTGTATCCATCAATTCAAAGTCCTTATTATTACCCAGGGTTCACATTGCTGTGAGCCATGGTGTGCAGGGAGAATGCTGTCCTAAAATCTAAAACTCACATTGAGTCTCTGTTGCTAAATCACTTTGACCTAATTTTCTTCTTTAAGTGAATTTTAATTTTAAAAGATTAATAGGGTAAATGTATGAAAATAATTAGCTAGCTTCTTCTATAGTTAAAATAATAAAACAATGGAAAGGAATGGGGCTAACCACATATGTTAGTCTTCCTGGAATATTCCCAGTCTATATCTGTCTCCTCAGTGAAATGCAAAAGTTCTCTTGCCATCAAAAGTTCTCCATTTAGACAGTCATCGTATGTTCTCTGAAAAACCACTTTCGTTCCAAAAGAATATTTGTTATTATGTTTGCTATGTAAGGATTCTAACTTTCCTTTTATTACTTTACAGTCAAAGATTGGTGGAATACAAATATTTCTGGAACAAGACACTCTCATTACTTACTTTTACTAAAAGGGAGCTAAGCAGCATTAAAAATGAACTATATGATAATTTTCAAAACTGGACTTCACTGAAAGGAGAAGTTTTTCTACAAATTAAATCCATAAGTGAAGCAGCCTTGACAGGTTTGTTACATATTTTTAGAACATAATCATCTTTTTTTGGGCAAATGATACATTGTAAGTAATGAAATTTTATTGTAGGTGATACACTTACCATCAACTTTTAAAATTGTTATTTGTTGGTAGGTTAGATGACAATTGTGATTTATTTGATAACCATTATGATCTATTTGAAACATGAAATTCAGTAATTGTAGATCAATCTAAGGTAAGCTACTATACATTTATTTTGAACTATGGCCAAAAATCTGGTTATTCCTATAAAATGTGCCAACTTGTATTTTAAAACTTTTTCTTTTTTCAATGGATAAGCAACTCACATGTTGTATCAGCATTTCTACATATAAAGTCTAGATAAAAAACAACACTGGAGAGTGACAAAATTCAAGGAAGGTATGTCAAAAAAATGATAAAGGCGTAAGGCCTCCATGGTGGCTAAGGGCTAAGTCTCGGCGCTATCAGCTCTACAACCTGAGTTAGATCCCCAGCCAGGGAGATGACCCACATGGCAAAGCAAACCTCTTCTGTCTTGCCTTCTGCTCCCTTCAGCAGTGTATTTCAGCAGATCTGCCTGTTCTATTCCCCACTCTGTCCCTGGTGAATCCTCTCATTACCACCAACCTGCCAACACCCCAGTTCTTCTACACAAAAATTTAAAAATAAAAACAAAAGAGGCATAATCCTAGCTGGAAGAAGACAATGTAAAAAGGCTACATGTTATTTATGATGCCAACTTCATGGCGGTCTGGAAAAGGTAAAACTGAGAAAATAATGAAGAGGTCAGTGGTTGTCAGGGTGGGGGGGGAAGGACAAAGAGGCAAAGCTTGGAAGATATTGAGGGCAAGGAAACTATTGTATGATACTAATGGTGGATACGTGTCATTATAAGTTTCTGCAGACCCACTGAATGTATAACTCCTTGAGTGACCCCTTTTTGTGAACTGGATTTGGGGGTGATGTGACTGTCATGATGTATCATTGTAGCTTCATTGATTGTAACAAAGGTACAGCCACTCTGAGGAAGGGTGTTGATAGTTGAGGGGACTCTGCATATGTGGGGGCATGAGGAATATGGGAATTTTCTATACTTTGTGCTAAATTTTACTCTGAATCTCCAACTGATATTTACAGACGTTAATTAAAATTGTTTTTTAATTGTAAGAAGGAACAACAAAAGGTGAATTTCTGTGTTTCTTTGTTTTTTAAGGCTGTTAAGCTGAGCGCAGCATAAAGCCTATTCCACACAGAAACGTTTCAAACTCTGATAGCACTCTATAACTTGGAGCCCTGGAGAGTGGAGGAGAGAGAGAAAGTCTCTGAAAAGGGAAAGGATAACCCAGAAAAGAGAAGAAAGCAAATTTGCATATAAGCTCTACCCACATCTCATATTCCTGAAATCCGTGTGCACATGGTAGACACCAAGCAGCCCATCTATGGCTAAAGAAATTGATATTTTAACTTACCTACCTCAGAGGAGATAAATTTTACAGTTTGGGTTCAACCAAATTAACTGCTTATTAAAGCAAACAATACCAGAAATACCAATGCTCTTTAGAGAAACAAAACAAAAACTAGAGTCTGGGTAACATCCATATTATCCATGATACAGTCCAAAATTACTTGATCTGGGAAGAAGCAGAAAATAGAATCCATATTCATAAGAATAGACAGTCAAGAGAGATTTAACCCGAGTTGATCTAAATGATGTCATTAACTGGCCAGGATTTCATATCAGCTATTAACTATGTTCAATGATATTACAAAATAAATAAATAAACTAGTAATTAATGACAAGATTGAAATATTAGCCAAAAAACTGTCAAAGATGGAAATCCAATGAAAAAAATATAAACTGAAATGAAACCTGATTGGATGAATTTTCACAGCATAATAGGATTACAGAAAAAAGAATCAGTGAATTTATGCAGAATCAATAGAAATTATTTAGAGATAAACATTGAAAAAATTGAACAGAGCCCAAGGGTCCTTAGAAGTATTAAAATGCGGTCCTCTGCCCCCCTGCGCCTACGCAGGTACTTCTTTCCACCGGCTCTCTCCCTCCTCCTGCCTGCTGTGACCTGTACCATGTCAGGACTCTGCTGCACTGACCTCCTCCCTCAGGGGAGGCTGCTCTCCTAAGGCTGCCCGCCGGCAACCATGCAGGCCTCTCTGCCTGCAAACCTGTTCCTTTCGGGACAGCTCTTCCTGCCCACTTGCACCTATGCAACTGTCTTTTCCTCTCCTGTCTCTTTCTGATAAACTTACTCTTTAAATATGTATAAAAAAAGAAGTGTTAAAATGCACCATAAATGATAAATATACATCAATATACATGACCCTGTTTTTCTTTGAGATAAAAAATTTTTATGTTCATTTGATTTAGTCCTGAATTTCATGTCCTGAAGTAGGCTTAGAAACACAGTTCACATTTTTCATAAAGTTGATGAAATTTGGGATAGAATAAGCCCATTTCTTATCCTATTAAAAAATTTTTTTGATGTGCATTTTTATGACTTTACCTAGTGTGGCATTAAATAATGGGCTGAAACTGCTTGCTTCAGGAGTGGAAGGTGAAGTAAGAAAAACACATGATCAGCATTTTCAGCTGATGGCAATTAGAACTCTTTAGCAGTTTTGCTCAGTAATACCTTTATTCACTTAATATGTGTTCATTGAATTCCTCTTTAACTTTAGGGCATTGGTGGGATTTATGGGGAAGTAAAAAATGAGTAAGATATTATCTCTGAAAAATGACTGAGTCCTGTAAATAGATCAGATGGTGTACACATGATCTGAACAATAGAAATGTTATAAATTGGTGTGAGCTTCAGGAAGGCCACAGTCACTTCCAGTTGGGTCAGAAAAGATCTCAAGGCAGATGTAGCTTTTGAGCCATAGTGTGCTTAATGCTCAGGCTAGAAGGACATTCATAGTATTCACAGAAGGGGCAATTCTGAAATAGAGAAGGCGTATTGTGGGTATAGTGACCAGAAAAGGGTGATCTGGAAGTGACCCTAATTTCTGAACCCCAAATTGGGACCACTGTCTGGCAAGAATAAAGTTGTGTTAGTGTTGAAGGAAGGATTGACACTTTGACACCAGACTTGCCATGGGGGTGGGGATGTATAGTTTGAGGAGGACGAATTCATTCCCCCCCACCCCACTTCCATGTTAGAAAGACTGTAGCTCCTTTTCAGCTTTTTTTTTAAGTCTGGCTGTACTTTTCCAAGTGTTTGAATATATTTCACAAATGAAGTTGTACTGCAGATTCTTATTCTTTTAATGTCAGATGCAAAGTCATGTTGACACCAGTAGTTATTTAGAGACAGATAGTGGTGTGCGCTGAGAGTCAGCCTGCTAACCAGGCAGTGTCTTTCTGGAATGATGACTAGCTGGACCGCCTGTGTGCGCCTCTTACAGTGTCACACTGACTTGAGCACAGACACACGCGGTCAGGGGCCAGTACAGTTTATTCAGCCACTTTCATGGCTGAAGACTTTTTTAGGTCTAATAAAAAGGAAAAAAAAAAAAAACCCTGCAACCTCCTTATTTTCCTTAACTACTGATAAATTCTTTTTAAACTTTATGTACTAATGTGCTAGTAGCTGGTCTCACACAAACGGCTGCATATCTGTCAGTGTATAAAAGCCCATTATTAGTCTTAGAAAATAAGATTCCCACATAAAGTAATCATTGAAATATAGTAACCCCTGCTTGTTCAGTCCCTGCCAGTTTGTTTCTCTGTTTCCCATTTTGAACAGGAGTTAAAAGTGAAGAAGGTACCAGACACTTACACTCTGGTCTTAAGTCTGTCTTAACTGCTTTTTTCCTTTCAGACACACTTCTTCCCATAAAGATGACTTGCTTTTCTCTTTGTGGGCCACATTCTGATGCTACCCTGAGGGACATGCTCTTTGTTGGGGTGCTGCTGCCGTGACCCAGCCAGCCAACTTGCCCTGGCTGTTTGTCTGCCCTATGCCTCTCCACTCCTGGTCTTCACTGGCCACGGCAGATATTTCAGCTAAACTAGCCCCGTCTTCTTTGACTCCCTATCACATCTGAACCCATCACATGGGCCAAGATGCAGGAACGACGGAAGGGGTTTTCAGTGAGTGCTCTGGAAATCACCTGTGCAGATTTTCATGCGGTTCTTAGCCTCAGCAGTTCCATTAACCATGGTTACATGTCTTTTATGGTAACTTACTACAGTGTGTGTGTGTGTGTGTGTGTGTTCTCAAGGTGGCTTGAAGGAAGCAGAGGTGAAGAGAATGATGAAAAGCTTGATAATTCTAATTCTGATGAAAACCTATGCTCTATACATTTCTTTTAAAGATTTATTTCCATTCATTTATACAAAAACTGGGGTGTAGGGCAAGAGGTATGGGTAGGTGGGTGGGTGGTGAGAGGATTTGCTACAGACAGTGTGGGAGCAGAACAGACAGATCTACTGAGACACACTGCCGAGGGGACCAGGGGTGAGACAGGAGAGGTCTGCTGCACCATGTGGGTCCGCTCCCTGGCTTGGGATCAAACTCATGCCACATTGTCTGGTGATAGCTTGATAGTGCTGAGACTTTAAGCCCTGTGCCACCAAGGAGGCCCTCCAGACATTTCTTACAAAATTATCACATTTATTACATTAAGTTATTACATTTAAATCTACATAGATCTGTGAATACATATTTATTTAGTTTTTAAAGGTTATTTATGGCATATAAGAGCTGGGATGTGGGCCAGAGGTGGGGGGTGTAAGGGAAGAAGTGGATGGGAGTGAGACGATTCACCAGAGACAGAATGGGGGGTCTGGGGGTGTAGCTCAGTAGTATAGCATTTTACTGTAGAACAGGGAGATCTACTGAAATACTCTGCTGCAAGCAGGGAGCAGTGAGCGAGACAGAGAGGTCTGTTGCATCACCTCCGTGGCTGGGGTTTGAACTCACATTACAATGGCTGTGGATCGGTTCACAGTGCTGCCGCTTAACGTGTTGCACCACTAGGGAGGCTCTGTGAACACATACTTATATCGAACAGAATCTAAGTAGATGGGATAACCAGTGCCTTGCTATGATGAATTCTGGTCTCATTTCAATGGGAAAAATGTTTAGAATCATTTAATTTAGAATCTATTTTGAGAATCATTAAAATACATGAAAATGATACTTTTTGTTCAGTCATTTGTTATTTTGGACACTGCATCCTTTTATCCTACCTCCTTTCTTTCTAATTTGTATAGAATATATCTTAGTTACTGTTATAGAAATGGCACCCAACCTGCTCATGTTACTACATTATATTCATTTTTCTGAATCATGTTGCCAAGAAAACAGTTTAATTTTAATAAAATGCAGAATATTGCACAGATATTATATTACTCATTTATATGACTATTTAAAAAGTAGCCGAATTGCCATTTAATACAACTTAAAGGCTAAAAAAAATACCCTACTCAAATTTATCATGCATCATTTAGCAGTACAGTGCTTTTTCTTATTTCTTTTTCAGAGTAACTACTGAATTTAAATTTAACCTTTTGGTTAGATATCATCAATTCTCAGAAAAATCATTTTGGCTTTCAACTATTACTGTTCTTAAGAGAAAATAATTTTTGAGAAGTGTTTTACAATTCAATGTTTTCTATTTATAAACTGTGACTTTTCTTTACAGAAGTAGAGATGCTAAATAAAAGTTTGACAGTGTCCCAGAGAAACAAGGCATGCTTGGAAGAGGAGATGAAAAGGCTGAAGCTGTTATCAGATGCAGCCATCCTGAGGTCCCAGGAGATACAGGCATCTAAACAGCAAGAACTCAATCTGCAAACAAGGTGCCACAACTTGCAAAAAGAAGCACTAGGTAAGAGATTTTTTTTTTTCTGTTAGCAACTAGCCATAATAAGGAAATGTCTATATTTTTATGTCTCTTATAACTACAACAAAATCTTGCTCTAATTATTTTGTGTTGCAAATATGCCTAATTATTAGTAACTTTGTTACTAATGTGTGTCTGTGACCATTGTGTGCTATTATCTTTTCCTCTTCTACCATTGAGAGTGATAAGCCTGGTGGGTATAGAGTAAAGGTGTTTCAAGTACAAAGTAAGACTTTAGGGAAATAAAGGTGTACTATACTTTAGGTTATCATTATCCCCACTGGATTGGTGCTTTATAAGCCTGACAGAAAATATTGAATATCCTGTTATAAAAAATGAATTCCAAATTTTAGGAATGCACTCATTTTCTCAAATGCAAAAATTTTTAATTGTGTTTTGAGAACCTTGGGCATGGTGTTTTAATATCTCTGTACCTTACAGAAATGAATGTTTTGGAAGTAAGGCTATGGGAGTTTCTATTTTTTTTTTGAAGGCAGTATGGAGTCATTGAAAATTGAAAATTAGCAGAAAGATATGAGCAGTATTTTAGCAAAATTAAGCAATCAGCAATGAACACAGGGGTTCAGGACATCATATGGCTAGAGCCAGTTAGTCATTTGGAAAACTAAATGTCTTCCCCGTCTCCTGGATTCTCCTGCTGACTTGGAGTAGGTGCTGTGGGATAGCCCCAGGGTTATAGCTCCTCTGAGACATTTTAGTCTCTAAAAGGCATAGAGACCCAGACTAGCAATTGTCTAGTTTCTAGCTGGTCTTGAAGAAGCACAAAAAATAAATTTGTGGAATTTATCATATTAGGAGCTTTTAATGCTGAAAATTTTAAATAGTGGTAAATTCTTTAATCTCATTAAAACCGTGAATGTTTTGCAGTTCAAGTTTGGCTTTTCTTCTCTCAAAAAGAATGGTCAAAACCATTGTGAATTATTGTTAATATTTATGAGGTCTATGGAAAATAAAATTACTGAGATACTGATTTTCAACTATTCTTTTAAAAACTGCCCACGTATGTGATAGCAAATATGGTTGAAGAGTCTTGTGTGCTTCTAGGGTGAGTGTAAATTAGCACAGCTTACAGAGGGTAGTTTGGCAATTTTTGCCTGAAATACAACTGCAGACCACTCTTTGATCCTGTGGATTATCTTCTAAAATTTGACATATAGATATGCTTCCTTATTAATAATGTGTTAGCATGCTTATCCACGGAAGCATAGTAATAGCAAAAGATTGCAGATAAAATAACAGATCATAGTAGACAGCGAGTTAAATATAAACTGTGCAACTCAAAAGATCAAATTCATAGAGCCATAAAAACCACGCAAACATGTTTGCGTGGTACAATTGGTAAAAAAAAAAGTGAGTTATATATGTATTAATATTTACTTGTATGTACATACAGGAAAAAAATTTTTGGATCTTGAAACTAATGAATGTTTATTGTGAGAAACAAAATTAGGTGAATGAGACGTAAGTGTGGGGGTGGGAGTATTTTTTTAAATAACCTTTATTTTTTAGGGTAACTTGAGATTTACAGAAAAAATAAAATAGTAAATATACCATCCCCTACACATATGTTTGCCCAACTATTAGCATTAATGTTATATGTTTGCTATAATTAATGTGTGTATACTGACATATTCTTATTAACTGAAGTCCACTTTTTTCAGATTTCCTTAGTTTTTACTAAATATCCTTTTTTCTGCCGCAAGAGTGCATCCAACACACCACTATACTTAGTGTGATATCTTCTTAAGCAACTCGACTGATAGTTTCCAAACTTTTCTTTGTTTTTGGTATTGTCAACAGTTTTCAAGGAGTACTGGTCAGGTATATTGTCAGATATACCTTTCTTATTGTAACAAAATCAGAATTCATGACTTTTCTCATGATTAGACTGAGATGATGGTAGCTCTTGGGAGGAAAATTATGGAGGTAAAGCATGCTTTATATGCCATTATATTAATGTGCATACTGCAACATGACCCATGACTAGTACTGTTGGCCTTCATCATCTGTCCGATGCGCTTTGGAAGCTCTGCGTGCAGCTCGGAGTTAGGGATGGGCAGTTACAGTCCGTCTTCGAATAGCCAGCTTCATTATTTGGGATGAATTGCTTCTTTTCCTTGACTTACTAATTTAATTTATTCAACACTTGAGTTATAGCAGTATAGACTTGTGGATATTTATTTTATACTTAGGTTGTAATTCAACACGACATTGTTTATTTTTTTTCTCATATTTTCCATCTTTGCCCCTTGGGTGCTCTTTCATTTGACTCCTATGTCCCTTTGACACATACCCAGCAGGATTTTTTTATATGTTGTTCATTTGTTTCGTGCACTACATGAAAGATACACATATATTTCATTCCCTAGTCCAGAATCAACCATTTCTCCAAGGAGCTCTTGTCCCTTTTACAAGACTGGTATTAGAAACCAAGACTTGGGTGCTCAGTGTATCTATTGCTACTGTCATTTAGTTTAGACCTCTCAGATGACAGAACAACAACAACAAATATATGTATGTATGTATGCATGCATGCATGCATGCATGCATGTATATACACACACATGAGTATATGGACACATCAACAATTATTTCTGTATATAATCATCTGCAACTCTATCAAGCTTAACATGAGTTATTACAGATGTTTTCAATTCTATTCTATAGCTCCATCTAGCCTCTCAAAGGGAATTTTTGCTTACTGTACATTTGTGATTTTAAAAATACTTTGAACTAATTAAATACATTGCCTATTTATAAAATAAGGTATAAATAAAATGGAACTCTGCATATGTGTTGCTATTTATTTTTGACTTAAGAGAGCAGGGCAATTTTAGCACAGATTAGCTAAAACATAGATTTCATACTTATCACTTTCCCCCAATTTGAAGAATATTATTCTTGCCTCTCCTTTATTCCATGCTCTTTATCTAACTTATTTTTCCTAAAATATTTTAGTTTCTTAAAATAGTAAACCATTAGAGAATATAGCATCTTACAATATACTCTACATACATAGTAACATATACTATACAGACCAAGTAGTTAAGTATTAGGTTAAGCAGCAGTTTTTCCATATTCGTAAAAAGAAGTGATTTATAGGAATAAATATAAGAAGAGGAGAAAGATTATCATCCCATTCAGAATTCAAGCCCAGGTTTCGTTAATCCAAAGCCTGTATTGTCTCATTAATCATTTCAGGGAATTCCAAAAGGCACAAGAAAAGGCTAAACTCCCTTTTCCTTTAAAAAACAACAAAAAGAATGTTTTCTTGCCCTTTTACAAAAGTAGACCATTGGCCTGACAGTCTTCTAGGGATTTAAGCTGAGGCAGTGCTGGCCAGATTTGCCTGATCATAGCGCATCCCAGCTGCAGGGGTGGGAGAGGGGAGTGGAGGCCTTTGTGAAATGCATGTTCTTGAACTCAGGCATACTGAGTTAGCATATGCAAGATTCTAAGACTTTCTATTTTTAATTTAGTTCTCCAGTGGTTTTCATTATAAGACGAAGTTGATACTAGCTTAAAAAAATAAGGAAAACAGCAAAAGGGATGAGAACACTGTAGCACAGTTGAAATTTAGAAACGTCTTACATTTTCTAGAGGAAGTGCATAAGTGAGCTTTGTTAGTTGCAAACAGCAAAACTGACTAATAACAGTGAAAGAATATTACTTAGACACTCAAGTGCTCCAAGAAGTTGGAAGAACCAGGCTTAGAAAATGGCTAGGAATCCTCGGACTCTAGGCTATCAGAATCACAACCAAAATCATTCTACAGAAACCATCTGTTACTGATGTTGTTGCTGTGTCCCCAAAACATTGAACACCCTACCTGATCTCTGCCTCTGGCCCCTCCTCTGGTCCTGAATACTGATTGATCCCAGAGGAAATTCTCTATTATTTCTCCTGTTTGATTTTCATTGTGCTCAGCACAGATCTCCGGGGTGGGGGGGGGGGGATGGGAGAGGAATGTAGTTTTTAAATAGCCTGGAAAGTAAGAATAGTGTATAACCAACTAATTCTAGCATATTTGAATGTTATTATAGGAGCACATTACAGCTATAAAAAATGGCAATGTTTATCTTTCCACCAGAAGAGCAAACAGAAGATTCAGACTTGATATAAGGATCATTAACAATGAGAAAAAGACAAGTTATATATAATAAGTGATATTAAAGTAAACCAAACACACCAAATTAAATTCAAAATTAAGTAAGCAAAAAGGCAGGAAAAATTATCACCAATAATTTGTCCTAATAATGTAGAGATACAGCAGCACTTTAAAAATTGTAAGAATGACAGACTTCCCCTATTAAAAAAAAAACACAGAACCTCTGACTTCAAAAACTGCTGAATGACTAAAGTGGAAACTGAACAAAAAAATGTGTCATCTGTGGTATGCAGAAGGTACCATATAAAGAATATTCAACTATGTAAGAAAAATCTATAACCCTAACAGGCAAATGTTGAAAAGAAGAAACAGACAACAGGAAATATAATGGTCATGCACAAGACATTTAATTGCTAATAATTAAATAGGCAGAAATAAAACATATGCCTCCTTTTAAATTAGTACAAAGTGATAATGTTTCTCTTAATTTGGTGATAAAATCTGTTCTATATTTTGAACCATATACATATTTGAGTTCTTGTTCCTATAGTGCATTCAAGAAACAAGGGAAATCATTTATATGCAAAAACCATAGCTTTAGTAGTGAATGATTAGAAATAATGTGTCCCCAGCTCTACCAAACAGCGTAGTAAATGATCATGAGCCATTACTTGGAACATATGTAGACTTTAAAATGACAGTATGAACACTGGATATGAACATGAGAAAATGCACATATTTGTAGTACTACTTAGTAAGAAAACCCACAAAATTGCTTGCACATATAATTACAATCATGTCAAAATAGGTGTATGATGATTAGAAACCCAGAGGGAAAATGAAGATATGAAAATTA